TAAATATCAAAGCCAGCAGCGAGGACAATGCAAAAAAAAAAAAAAAAAGAAAAAAAAAAGAAAATAGAGAGGGTGAAAGAGAACAGCTTCCATCCAATCTAATCTAAGGGTGTAAGCTATTTCTCATTCCGTGTCCGTAGCCCATTAGTGAGGGGAAATCCGTGTCCAGTGTGTGTATCTGGGTTATTTTAAATTGCTCGAGATCCAGCCACGACTCCTGGATGTGTATATTCTTTTTTTCTCGCCACAGCTACCGCTGTCCCGTTTTTCCTCCTTTTCTGGCTCCGATCCTTTATTTTCTTTTATTCGGTGGAATAAAATGGGAAAGGAGAGACGTGAAGAAAAAAAAATTCGACGCTGCAATGAAGAGGTGGAGGAAAGAAAGACAGAGAGTGCTAGTTCGATACAGCGAGTGGGAAAAAGAGTATATACTTACAGGCAAACCAAAAAAAAACTGTCGGCCCGTCAGCAGCAAACAAATAGGTACACCTGATCCAGCCGAGCAGTCGTAGTCGATATTTTAAGAATAATTGGAGACTCTTGCTTTTTCAATCATCTGAGCAGTCTCTTGTACACATGGTCAATAAAAAGGTGCACCGAGGATTGAGATACTATAGCTGGAGTGTGTACAATTTATGAAGCATATTTCTGAGATCACGTTGGAATTGTCAAAGAAGCTGTACCTTTTAGCTGGTTAGTTTCATTAGTTTTGATAAAATTGTAGTTTCAATCTATTCCAGTTGACTTTGAAATATCTGACAATTACTATTTATCAAAATTTATTCCACTAAAACGTCGACTTGATACATTTTTTATTAATGAAATATTCTTATTACCTCAGATGATATTTTAACTGCACTAATTAGCCTCAGACTTGGCACTACGTTTGCGACTGGTGCACTTGCCGAATGTGAATCGTTTATTGGCTTAAATCAATTTTCATAATTTTTGTATGCGTGGTCCACAAATTGATAACTTTAAGCCTTAAATCATTAAAATTTATCGTGTACTCAAACACTCACTCTACATAATAAACGTTTCTTTTACATGTTTCCAAGAAAACCTTATTTTTTATCATTGTAAAGCCTTGAAGCAAAATGTGTCGATACTTTTCCATATCCCACCCAAATGGAGCTTGCATAGTTATAAAAAAGTTGAATGACAATATTACAAATCACACGAGCAGAATTCGTGGCACGAATGAGTCCTGAAAAAGCTTTTCTCTTTCTTTTCTCCCCGTATTTATCTCCAGCCTCAGCAAGACGTGGCTTCGATAGACGTACGTAAGTCTCGAGGGCCTTCAACTGTAGTTGCGCGGCAATTAAAGCTTCCCTGGCTCTTTTTACCTCAGCTCCTTGCTCCTAATGCCCGAAAAAAAACGTACAAAACCGGGAGAAAGTCAGAGATCAGTCAAGAGAAGAGGTGAGGGTAGCAAAAAGAAAACGAACGTGGATGAATGAAATAGGAGCTGGATTCGCTTAATTTCCCTGATTTTTCTCGCCACTTCACTAATTGGAATACCTCAGATTTGGAATTTTCTTTTGCATAATACGCAATACTTACATTATTCTCAATTTGACAGGAAATCGATGTAAATAGGGATTCAATGGGTAAGAACTCAAGGGAGTTTCAAAAAAATAAGTAGTAATAGACCCCGTTTGGTCAGACATTACTTTTTTTTACAAATTTTTTAAAGTTTTTTAGGCCGTAAAAACACTAAAAAAATCCATTGATAATAGTGAAATAGTTTATGCAAGCTTCATAATACGTATAACTCATTACCAAAGTCCACCATATTACATATTATATTTTTTTTCACACAGTAAATGAAACACCTTACGGTATTTCTGCCCTTACAATGCATCACTATACAATCACAAAAGCTCTTGGAGTTACATCAGAATGTTGTAAAGACCCAAGAACAAACAGAACCGAAAGGTCGGAGAAAATCAAACAAATAAAAATACCCATCCGCTTTGACATCTTCGCCCAACAAGGGGAGTCCACTTCTCCTGTCGTCCGAACGACAAACTCGCGATACCAGCGTGCAAAGGCACAAAAGAGGATAGCTGGTCGGTGGCGTACAACTTCTCGAATGGTGTCGCCCTGTCGTTTTCTCTCTCGGGATCGGCCCTCTCTACATCGACATCGAGAACGGACGAGAAATCGTAATGACGGCGGGGCTGGCCTCGTTTCCTCGTTATCGAGAGCTCGAAACTTTAGCTACGGAGCGCAGTGAAGTATAACTACGGCTGTGTGAAGCTCTGCTGGTGACACTGACGATACGACTCGATTGCATTTACTTGCTGACGGGTTGTGCGAATGTTTTTTTTTTTTTTTTTTTTTTCTTTCTTTTTTTTCCCATAGACCTTAACAATCAAATTGCATATGCAAAGAGGATTATAAACGACCATGAAAATATCAGAAAAACTAGAAACGATTATTTGCAAATTGTAAGATCTATTTTTAGAGTCGCGCCTCCGGTTCGGAAACTTGAAAATATGAGTCAAAACGCTCTAGTGGGCCTTGACACGTTTTTTTTTCTTCTTCTTTTCACCTACTCTCGTTCAAAGCGATATTATATCCTTTGAAAAATCACCGTTTCTCGATGTAAAAACCTTACAAGATCAAAGGAAAGGCGCCCAAGTAAAAGTAAAAGGAAACGCGCCGAGAGCGTGTGTATACTCCAGTCTCTACTCGAACGAACACTCCCAAACTATACGCACACATAACATTTTTTTTTTCTCAAACGACGGAAACATCGTGCTTGATATAAACTTGCCTACCCACTTTCCTCTCTAACGAATTAACGATGCGAGTAAACTTGTTGGATCTCTTTTTTCCCTCTTTCCCCCACCATACACTATTTTCAAAACAATAACGAGGTCACGTTGCCACGTGCACTGATGCATGAACACTAATCTATATCTACAAAGTACAGACATTTTCAGATTAAAAAAAGGGCACCTGAGCTTTTAGCTATCCTAACAACCGGCAATACCTACATTTCTAGTTAGCTCGTCGGTGTATGACACACGATGGGTACCGTCTGGAATATGGAAACGCGGGATTCCTTCCCCCTCTCGTAACCAGGCTGCTGTCGTATTTTTAAAAAAGACTGTTGGTTGTTGCGCCATACCAGTGCATTATCGTGCATCTGATATACGTATCTATCGACACTCCCCTCCTATCCTCTCACTTCCAGAGGAAGAAACTTATCCATTTCACCCTCGCAGCATTTGGAAAATCTGATTTCGCCGACACTACTCGTTTATTCGCTGCGCGTGTACGAACGCCTTCGTATTTCTGCTGCTATGGGTGTCCTCTATCTCTCACCGTCTCGATATCATCTCGGTTTTACGGGCGAAGATGTTTTTGAGACACGCGCGTTCGGTACGTGAGAGCCTCGGCTCCTGCCACGCTGTACTTCTGATGGCGACGGCAAGCTTAGCTAAATAAGGGGAACGGCACGTGCACACGGGTGCCATTTCTTAGGTACCGTCTACTGTCACTATTTTTTTTTATTGGATTATCAGGACTATGAGATTCAAATAAAAGGAGAGATATTGATAGTTTGTAGAACTTGATAGTTTTTTAATTTGAATCTGAACATTTTAAAGTATTTAAAATTTTCAAAGCAAGTTTTTATTCGCGTGTTTTTGAGGTGTCTTTTGCTTGGTAGCATTAAACTTGGTATTAATAGCATTTAAATTATTTTTTCGCGTCATTGCTCGGCAAAATAGGAGAACAAAGGAAGTGGTGTATTTATTTAAAATACAGACCTAATGCAAAAAAAGCTCGTCATTATTTTACAATGAAAAATTTTCATTTTCAGCCAATGTTTTCGTATCTACGTTATTTAAATCGTTAAAGTTAAGCTTGACGATAGCGAAATTATCGTATCACAACTATGCGCACGTAAATATACGTGTCACGAGAGATACGAATATACACATGTTGCATTACGTATACGCACACATGCAGATATACCCACAATCAATTTTCCTGCCGACCGTACGCTGTAGGTAGACCACTCCTGCACTACTCCCCCAGATTTTGATAGATGTTTGCCGCTTAACTTTTCCCATTCGTTATGAAAAAGTTAAAAACTTTCGCTCCCGTGTTTTCACCAGCTGGCTCATTTTGTCTCTTTTTTTTTGCTCCTGTAATAACACACGTACGGAAGCTTAGAGGACTAAATGGTGATTAAAAAAGTTGTTTCGTTCCCTCGAAGCGATGCTAGAAACAATAATTGCGTTTCATATTTTTCAAGCTCGCAAAGGCTCTGTAACGCGTAAAATCTGCCCAAAGCTGTAAAATGCAGGTCTTGAGTGGTAGTTTTGTACGGTATACATAGTCAAGGCCGGATGAAAGATGAATGTCTGCTCGATGTCCGCGCTTTATGGAAGGTGAGCTGCCTCGAAGTGGAGGAGCAAATTATAAATGATCCCAAGGTCGGAGGGGAGAGTCTTATTTTATTCACTACTCGTCGATGAAATTCTTTCGTCTGTCCGTTTGACGAATAGTCGCCCTTCGTTTCTTACTTGTAAATTATGCAGGGAAAAGAAAAACCACCTATAGATTATACGAAATAGTCCAGGATTTAATTTAATTTTTGGTACACGCAAAATTTTCTGTTCGGCGACTAAAAGTCGAATCACGTTTCCGCGAAATTCCCTCGGAGTTCCCCCAAAATTGAAGATGAAAACCCGCAGCTGGAGGGCCTCGAGCGGTGACGGCACATTTAGGGCGAACATTTCGTAACTAATTACATGGCAAAGTACAGAAGGGCGCGCAGAGGAGTACAAAGACTGTAGACCGAGAAGTACAGAAAGGCTCCCTTGGCTCCTCGAAGCATCGCATCTGCACCAGTGCTTGTCCTCGGTATATTAAACACGCGTCGGCGCGTCTGCGTCTATACAGCCTGCTTATCTACGTTGGTGGTGCTCCCCGACCACGTAAACATCATATATATACAGAAAAAAGTGGTAGGTACTCACTGAGGTCCTGGCAGCCTTTGAGCTCGACGCGGAGGCAGACGGTGCGCCGGTGTACCGAGTACGGCAGGATGCGTAGCTGGCTTGCGAAGATCGGCGGGATCAGCTCACGCGATACTATGGTTGATGTGTCGACATTGCCCGACATCACCTGCAACATACATATTGTAGCGTACTCTTGTATGAGAGTGTTTCCTAAAATAGGTACGTTGTGGGGTGCCTGCTGATCGTGTAAAGAATTAGAAGGTGTGTACGTATATAATGTAGGCTAGCCGTGCTTCAGCACTTCCCCTGTTTATCTGTCTGGTTTTGCCGATGCAAGAAAAGTAGCCTGTAGGTATATGTGTGCTCTACTCCTTGAGACAAGATAATTGCTTTGTGCGCTTACTACGAGGTGGAAATTTAAGATGTAAGTTGATAGAGTCACAAGTAACCGTGATTCTCAATTTTATAAATTATAACATATTATCAATGTGATACACATCCACCTGACTAAACTTGTCTATTGCTACTTCCGCGCGTTTAATCGTATACAAGATTAGTGAAAACTTAATTTTCCGTCTTAAACATTTTGTTTCCATAGGCATCAAATTTTCAGGTCAGACACATGTCTAACTAAACTTGTCTATTATTAGCGTTGAGCATTTTTTTTTGCGTAAGCATAAAATTGTCGAATTTTAAGGTCAGACACATGTCTGACTAACCTTGTCTATCACTACTTACACACGTTAAGATGTATACAAGAATAGCTAAAACTAAATTTTCTGGATTAAGTATTTTTTTGTGTAGGTATCAAATTATAGAATTTGAAGGTCAGACATGTGTCTGACTAAACTTGTCTATTACTACTTTCGTGTGTTAAGACATACACAAGAATATCAAAAACTCAATTTTTCGGGTTGAGCTTTTTTTGCGTAGGCATCAAATTCTAGAATTTTAAGATCGGACAACGGTCTGACTAAACTTGTCCATTACTACTCATGCGTGATAAAGCGTACACATGAATAACGAAAACTTAATTGACCAAGTTGAGCATTTTTTTAGATATTGAACGTGGAGTTTTAAGGCCAGACATTGGTCTGACTAAACTTGTCTGTTACTACTTTCGTGCGATAAATCTTACAATAATAGCAAAAACTCAGTTGGCCTGGATAAGTATCTTTTAGCCTTAATTGGAGTGCATTTTTTTTTTAAACCAGAACGTGGGATTAGCCTATACTTAAACAATATTTGTAAATGTAATAGCCTTGATTAACACTTTTTTCTCGTTTTTTATTTCATTTTACAAACCCACCTGCTCGTTGAAACAAGAAAAACCACCACTCACGCCCAATTTAAAGCTGGCACTATACAGACCCTCTTCCTTCCCGAGAACTTCTGTCATCATGTACTCATTTTCCTCGGCATCAATTAACTTTTCCCGTTTTTTAGCACCTCCCTAAACTTCTACGGTATACAGTCCGTATAATGGTTTCTCCTTTCCTTCCAAGTCGTCTTTGCAGCTCAAAAGCAGGGGAAAGACGAAGCTCAACGATTCTCGGAAAAAGGAGGCTTGTGCAAATTTGCTCCGACCTCTCGCTCTCGAGGAATTAAGGGCCTTTTTTCGCCCCCGAGAGCAGGAAGGGAGTTTCACGCTTTCTTTGTCAAAGGTGCGAGCTTTTTCTCCCCCCTCCCTCCTCGTTGCCTTGAGAATGCTTTTTCTCCAGCTCCTCATCTTTGTGAAGACGGTGTGTTGGTTATACTTTTGATACACGCACGAATATTCACGAAAGTTGTCGATGGGCCGCGCCCCTCGGGGCGAAAGCTCCAATTTGCTCGTAATTACGAATAAATAATACTTTGCATTTTTGTTGTTGATTTAGCGTTTCCCCGTTTGCTGCTTTATCGCTGTTAAGTGATATTACGCTCGTTAAAGCGCACCCTCGCTATACATGTATACACTCGTACGCGATAAAGTTGCTCCAACTCTTCGCTTCCGTTTACAAGACGCGGCCCGACTGCTCGGGGAGTAATTTTTCACTCGGAATGGCTCTTTTCGTTTGTACAAAATTATCCGCGAGCTTTGATTCGTCGGTACAAACATTTTTCGACGTCCCTTTGAAGCGAGCTCCCTCCCTCTGTGCACCGGTACACCAAACTATCTCTGCGCCGCGCGTAACTTTGGATCAGCATGAAATTTTACAATCTCGTGGATCTCCCTGGTGGCGAATAATTTCCCAGTACCGCCCTAAACAAACTTAATGTGCGCACACGGCGAAATCGGCCATCCACGCGGATGGGGTCGGTGCTTTATTTATTTTTTTTTTTCCTCGCATCGGCCGACGCAGATACGCGGATCGTCGAGCGTGCAAAACGAGAGAAAAGGGGCCGAAAGCAACGGACTCGAAAAAGAAGAACGACCCTCGCGTCCGAAGCCCGTTCAACTTGTGCCGCGCGGTGCTCTCGCGCGTGTAACGAGCAACGCTTTAGAACTCCGGGTTCTGTGTTTTTCTCTTTCGCTCGGCGATGCAGTTGGCTCGTGATGTTTAAGCCGTTAACGACAGGAAAAAAGCTTAGGAGTTAGAGAATATTTTTTAAATTGCTTGTTAATCGCAATAATAGACCGATGAAATGATCGAGGCTCGCAGAACGATAGAATGACTTCGTTGAATATCCTCTAATTTTTTAATGTTAGACCCATAGACATGATTGTGCGTAGAAATATGCTTTTTTTTTGTTAATAGATACACGCGCTCCTCTATCGCAACCAAATTAGCGTTTCCAACACCCTTCCAATGTAAAAAATAATCACTCATCCCATCGAAACACCCACCGCGTATGATCGAAAGCTCCGAGTCCGTAAAATTTTCATAACTTTCCAAAAGCCCCTCAAAATTCCACAGGCCCCCAAATCACCGTACAGCTTGCAGGTAATCTGCACACGCTTTTAGCACGGCGGTGCTTAAGCGTCGCTCTTTCCCTTCCCCAAAGTGCAAAGCTCCGCAATATCGAGGAGCGAAAGTCATCGCCGAGTCGCTGCAGTTTGAATAACATACACACACGTGTGTGCGCGGGAGCAGAGAGAAAACACACAAACGCGCGATTCATATCAGCAGCGAGAGATAGCACGCGCGCCCGCGTTATTAGAGAGATGCTTGCCGATATCGCCACCATCCCTCCCTGCCCAAGCTTTAAAAGCGTTGGTGCTTTTTTTTTTTTTTTTTTTCACACGCGTGCAGTCTCTTTTACGCGACCCTTCCCTCTGATCAGCGAAAAACGCGGGCTGGTCAACAAAACAGGAAAGCCAGAGTGCGAAATTTCGTTTGCCTACAGCCGAAGGCTCGGTGTACAGTTTCCCAGCAGTAGCGCGACATGGAAATACTTTTTGCACAATCCGATTTCGCTGTAGCCCCCACCTCCACCTCGTCCACCTTTTTTTAAAGCCTCCCTCGTGTTTTTTTATTTTTTTTATTTTTTATTTTCTAACGCCCAAGAATCGATGGTACAAGGCTGGAATGAATAATCGTGTGTATAGGTAACCTGTTGGCCGTTCCAGAGTCTGTACTGGCGCCACTCGGCGAGCCCCGGCCTCCAGTACTCGATGGTGTACTCCTCGGTGTACTCGACGCCGTGCCCGTTACCGAAGCGTCCTTGGGTCTCGATGGACGTGACCACGTGGACCCCACTCAGATCGATCTGCAGCCACTCTCGCACTCCGCTTTCGATTTGGTTCTTTGGGCACCAAGCTCCTCCCGCCGTCTCCTTCCGCAACCTGGGAACAAAGACAAACGTCAGAGGTATGTGTTTCCCTATCCAACTCCATATTATCATTATTGGTACTATTTTTACGATAGTCTTAAAATAGCGTAAAACATTCAGATGAATAAAAATGCTATCCCACTCCAGAAAAAGTTTTTCTAAGCCTGAACCATTGAGTTGAATTAAAAAGAAGGAAAAAAATTGGCACCCCTCCCATAGGTAACGTGCCTTTTCAACATACGCGTATGATTAACACTTTATCGCAAAGAGCGCATGCACGAAACGAAATTTCCCCCCCCCCCCATCAACACGTGCAATAATTGAAGTGCTCGCGCCCAGCCCGAATAATGCCCCACGAGAACCTACGCGTGTGAAACAAGTACGTATACGTATAGCCCCGCACGAGACACGCGTTGCGCGATACCCGATAATATCTCAAGATGTAATTTCCGAACTGCAAGCGCAATCAGATAATTGACTTTTGGCCCCTGGCGTGTCAAGAGCGCGCTCGCTCGCACTCCAGCCACCCCCTTCCCTCCTTTCACAAAATCGTTTGATGTCGCTCTCCTGCTTGCCTTTTCCCCCTTATAGGTGTAGCATGTAGCCTCTCATCTTCCGCCTTTGCCTCTCCCCTCTTCTTCTTCTTCTTCTTCTTCTTCTTTGACTGTCTCGGAGAATATCGTGTACATGACATGTATATATATATATATATATATAAATATAGAAATATGTATAATACAGAGTGTAAGAAGCAAAGGGTGGGTGGGGGGCGCATATACGTGTGTATCTTTCGCACGCGAGAGAGCCGAAAGAAACGGGTGCGTGTGTGACGGGTCGAGGGAGAGCTGGTCAAAGGTGATGAAGATATTCCCGTGAGTTGATTACATTAGACTGGCTGCTCTACTGGGAGAGGACCTTCTCTCTCTCTCTCTCTCTCTCTCTCTCGGGCAGGGTCCGCGTGTGTTTTATATATCACGTTGCCTTGATGGTGGCCTCCTTTCGGCTCTTATTGATTTACCACGAGATAATGTATGTACACGTATACGCGTGGGTCTCGGTGTGCAGGAGTAATGGATAATACGCACACGTGTGTTTATATCTACATCCTCGCGTGTGCCAGGATATAATTTATTATTGAGTTATGGGTTTTATCTGAGCCCCTGGGAGTACTATTACGGTCGAAGAGCATACGTCAAGTTTAACGTTGAGGCGGAGGTGTGGGAATGTTATTAGGTTTTTTTTTTGTTTTTTTGTTTTATTCACTTGTATATATTTTTGTCTCGGTGAAAATCGAGCTTTCCATCCGATGCTATTTTGCAGATCGAGTTACGACCTTCTTCATTATTACTGTGTATGATATCCGGGTGGAAATTGTATTGTTGGAAATTGTGGGTCAAAATGGGCCGTGTAAATAAAATTTATACGAGACTTGGAAAGCTGAAAGTAAAAACATAAAAATTTGTCCTCATTAACTGTCCTTGATGTAATTATGGATTTTTTTTTTTTTTTGATTGATGGTAAAAACGTTCACGTCATACCAAACTGAAGCGAAATATCTGTATTTCTCGTCAAAGCAGTCCTCCTCATCTTTCTCCGGGTCTCCACTTTTCGCTCTGAAATTTCCCCATTTAATCGCTCGTCCCTTTGCATCGGTGAAAGCGAGCCTCACGCACACGGTGTGGGTACGGCGCTTTTGAGCTTTCCTGCGCTCGCATCGGCTATCGTGACCCGCCATCGGTGCTGTCTGTGTCATTTTTCCTGCGCGTAAATAGCCAGTCCTATCTCGGCGCATCATCTTGAGGCTCGCAAGCACGTGAGTCATCAAATTAAATGGGGGCTGCTCGCTCGGGAGGGCAGAGAAAAAGGGAAGGCTCGATTTTTTTTCTCTCTCTCTCTCTCTCTTTACTTGTTAGTGGTATGTAGCGGTAGTGCTCGCGAGTTGGGGGGATATTTTTGGGGGACGTGTTTTTCTATGGAACTGTTGAATTGCTTCGTGGATGTTATTTTTGCTTTGGTGAAAATTTTTCTAGATCTAAAAGTAACAAGCCAACCTGAATGGTTGATGAAAAATTTTCAATTACTCACTGAAATTTTTATGAACAAAAATGTGAGCGTCGACAATTATACTAATATTTGTAAATGGAAGTACCGTGTCGAAGTAAAAATTTATGACTAATCGTTGGGTACAATCTATGCTTTATTTTTTTTTTTTATAATATTTATCATGCCATCTTGGTGTGGACCAAACCACTTTTGGGATGTAAATATTTATGCACCATTGCAATTTAGACCCAACCACATCAGCAATTGAATGTGATGAGGCACATTAAAATCCTTCCATTCAAATTACAGTTGCGAGGTTTGAAATAAAAAAAAAAAAAAAAAGAAACAAGTGATTGAATTTATAATAAAAAATTATCTTTGCATATACAAGACACGACTGCTGCAGTCCTCTAAAAAATTAATATTTAAAAAACTCCATTGTTGTAAAATACCACAATAAACTTGAAAAAAACAAAAAACATCCATCAATTAAACATCTTAAAAGAGAATTTGGCGAATCCTACATCAACCATAGCTTCCGGGAAATAAAAATTCAGGCTCGCAAATTCTCGCACCTAAACTACCCGAAGGAATAAACTCCAGCTCATAATCAGCAAGAAAAAAAGTCACAGTCCCGAGCAGCGTACATACAGTGGTACACGCACAATAAACGTCGCATAAAAGTAGCCTGAGCTCGTTCAAGCGACGCAAGCAGCTCCTCAACGATTCACCCTGCCCGCGAACTCCGGGCATAAAAATTGATTGCTTGTTAAGCACGAAAGTCCCGCCGACTAGCGCACTGATTGGTCCACCCTCTATTTTTATTTTTTTTATTTTTTTTTTATTTCTCGTTTCATTTTTCCGATGCGTGCCTCGTAGCGATTCCAACAACGGACGGAGATCCAATTTTTATCGCGCGGAGAAGTCCCGCTTTATCGCCCGCTCGAGCAGATGAGCTTCGTAATTGATAATCAAACTGAATTGCTTTTTTTTTTTTTTTCATCAATGGAGTTGCTTCAGCTCCTCTTGCTGAAGGTCAGTTGGATTCTTCTCTTTTTTTTGTCGCGCGCGAGCATTGATTTTCAGATATAATAAAGGAGCCGATGTCGGATTAAAACGATCGGAATCCCAACTTTTTTACCTTCGTATCTCGACGTATCCTATTATTCATAAAAAAAATCAGCGAATCACTCTTTTCCGTAAAACTCCAATGGATAAAAACTCTCTGCCGAGGAGTATTCCCGAGAGTTTTGCGAAAGTCGTAAAATTGATGGATAATCAGTCGAGACCGTATGTACACGGATGCGAAAAAAAGCGGGGCGGGGGAGGGGATATCGCAAATATGCGTGTCAATGATATGGAGCGACTGAGAGTTATGGATGGCCTTTTCGACAGAAGTCAAGAGAGGAGCGAGTACAAACTACATGATTGATTGTACGGGGGAGGAAAAATAACACGATAGCCCTAGAGCATAATGTATTGCCAACTGGTTCTGGATATCGACTCGGAAAATGATGATGTTCTCCCAAAATTGTCTGATACAGATATACTATTTTCATTTATTATATAGCTGTAAATTTTACACCAAGTAAGGGTATTGTTTATCGTGTACTTGTTCACAAAAGATCGGATATGAATCCAATGGTCCCTTTATTTACGACCAGCCATTAAATCCGTGTCCAGCGTTTCGCTTCTAACGTGTAGAGATGGATTCGCAACTGCGGGCCCTCTCGGTCTGCGTCAGCCTCGGTGCGGCTCTCATTACTCCGGGGCTGTCTGTCTAGGCTGGTGTCTTTTTCATTCTTTTCGTGAAGGACGATTTCTTTGCAACTTTTTTCTTTGCCCCCCCCCCTCGCTGTTTTTGCTGTTTTTTCAAATCCGAATGTTGTGGTGGACAAAAGTAATCCTTTGTTGTACTCCTGGCTATTGTATCTTGTAGCTATTGTCAAAGTCTCGCTAATATAATTTGACGATTTCGAGTTTCCGTCCATCAGACGTTTTTCACGTATAGTAACAATTTTTCGATACCATACCCAACCGTTGACGTGGGAAAGCGTGTTCCCTATTCATTTATTTTTAAACAACAATTGCTTTTCGATCGAATAAGTACCGCGAGATATCTGCGACATTAAATTTTTTTAGCTCTATTTATTATATGAAAGCCACTCGACTTTTAGGAAAGGACTTTGTTATTCAGAAAATACTTGCACCTGTCGATGCTACGAACGCGAGAAAAAAAAATGTGGAAAAGTGTATACGTATACAGAACAACGATGTTACTTACCGTGCGTAGCGCGCACCGACATTCGTCACGTACGAGGACGTAGCGTTTAGAGCTGCATCGGGTATGGCCCCCGATTCCATGCCCAGAGCTCCAGTGCATGATCCTGAAAAACACAGTGTCGTATTAATACTGCATTTATTATCATGTACATCGTTGACAATAAGTCTAACGATTTTTGTTCAAAAAGAAGCAACATCAACATTTTTACTCGGTAGAATCAAACACCAATGGCTACTGCTATTATTACTTGACAATTGATTCAATCAGTAAAAAAAAAAAAAAAAAAGGAAGCACATTTCTCGTCCGGTTGACGTGTATATTCACGCAAAAGTGGGACAGCTCGTAGCTGCTGTACAACTGCTCGTTCTTTCTTTCTTTTTTTTTTGTTTTTCATTTTACCCCCCCTCTTTCGTTCCGCTTTCAGTCCCTCCTCAAAAAAAAGCCCGACCACGTAAATTGCGAATCGAATTTTCGACAACAATAGCGCGGTAAAAGCGACGACTGCGCCTTCCTTCTTTTCCTTTTTTTGTTCTGTCATTCCGTCATGGTGGCACAATAGCGTCGGGCAGCACGCGAAAGATTCGTGACACAAAAAGCAATGTACAAGCGCTCAAGGTCGAAAGACACAATGTTCCTCGGAGCGGTGAAAAAGTTTTTAATTGCTCATTTCGCAAGCGTTGCCAATAACAGCGGGGGGACGAAACTTTTAACGAGCCGTCGTTTATTGAAAACACACACCGCGCATGGGGGAAATTATTATTTTTCATCGAGCCGGCTATTGAAACGCATCTCGAGAGAAAGTCAGAGAGAGAGGAGAGAGAGGGTTGCTTTTGACGTATTCATCGCGAGTACGGAGCGCTCCAAAGTGAGCTCTCGGGTACCTTCCGCACGTATGGACGCCGAGAAGTTGGCGCGCCTGTAAAATAAACGCCCGTGCGATGCATACCCGTATAGTGCCCGATTCTTGAACAAGAGGTCGAAAGGGAGTCTCTCGGTGGTGAGAGTCACGTTCATCGTAAATACCGTACGGGGTTGGGGCTCGATTTTAGATTCAGCTGCTCGGGGTCTTCGGGGTAACTTCAATACACCAGGTATCATATTATTCTTCTTACAGTTAATTGTCGGTTCGGGGGGTTTATTTATTAATTTTTCTACCACAGACCCAATTAAATCACACGGATTATGCAACGCGATTATATTCTCACCACGAGGTCTTAATAACTTCTGACCCACGCACTGCTTCCAAAACTCTACATCTGTACAGGGAGGGGGAAAAAATGTTGAAACACACCCGATGTATAGATGTGTAGCACTTGAAACGACCAAAGTGCTCTCACGAGCAAGAAACTTTTTTCATTTGCCCGTGATTCATTACGCTCCCTCTCATCGCATAATATTACACTTGATTCTTCGTAATTCGCGTACAGGTGTATATATATACCTGTACGCTCTACTTTTTGACCGATATCTCTCGCTCCTTTTTATCATCGAATCGAGAGAAACGTATTTCCATCCAGAATTTTCCTTTCACTGAATTATATCGCGGTGCAAAAGGCGAATAAAAATATTCGTCGACGATGTTGCAAGTGCCCAACCCTCCGACAATTTACAACCTTGGTGGTCTGCAACGCGTCAAACCTCGGCCAAAGCGTCAGACGCACCGACAACCTCTTCACCGCTCATTACACCCAATTTCCTCCCCCCGCGATCTCTCTCCACCTCCCTCGTGCCTTCTTAATCTTCCCCCGTCATATTTTCAGCTCTCAGGACCAGACTCCCCTAAAAAAACAACCCCAAACCCTGGCTCCCGCCATTTTTCCCGGGCACCGGTGAAAAATAACCCCTCGACCCCAGCCTGCGTACCAGACGCCTGCATCACCGTCATCCAACCGTCTAGCCCAAACGCGCGTTAAGCTTAATCGCTCGGACTGTGTTTTTCTCCGAAAAATCTCCATTACCTCGCAGCTCGACCCCAAGTCCCCCCCGTGTACGCGTGGATGGCGAAACAGGCGTCCACGGGGTGGAAAATTGCGCTCTCGCGTGCGTTACGACTGTGCTCGTCTCGGGAAGAATGTACATGTCCAGTGAAACCGTCAAGTATTTATCGACGCTGCGATTGACGGGACAAACATCCAAAGGACGGAAGGGGGAGAGGAAAAAAGCCATCCCCTTGTCGATCGGAAGAGGGGTAGCTCCGCAGTGGCCGAGCAAGTGCATGCACGGAGCGGTGCAAGCAAGGCGGTACCGGGGGGGGTGGGTCCGATCGGTGATTAATGAAGCGCGCAGGCCAATCTCGCCGGGGTAATCTGCTTCCTCCTCTGCACCAACGAAAATGCCTTGCCACCTCGGATCGAAGGATCTCTCTATCGCCTCGGTTTCTGTTTTGATTTCGATTTTTCTCTCACGCTCGCCCGAGCTCTTCAACACGCGTATCGCGTTGCTGTTTCGCCCATAAATTCGTCGGCGCTACCCTTCTCTCCGACTTTGGCCAAGTTTTGTTCGCGTTTCCCCCCCCCCCCTGCTCTTTCGATTACCACACGCTGGTCGAAAGAACAAAGAACTCCCCTAAATTTCTCTCGCATCCGACAAAAAATTGGTGAAACCGATATCGAAGGTCCATCGAGAAAGAGAGACTTTTTTTTTCCTCCCCGAAAGGCTCCAAGAATTTTTCATCAGCCACCCGCGAGCCAACTTACGATACGAGAGTATGGTTTCTTTTTTTTTCTCCCCATCGTCGTCGCCAAGCTCGAGCATATACATGTATATACAGCAAGTGAAGCTTGGATTTTGATTTCCGATATTGTGTATAGGTATAGCGCAGGGGTTTCTCGATTAACGGCGTTATAACTCGCCAAACTGGGTCAAATTGGCCTCGCGCGCGGATGGATATTTGTCTGACGTATATTTCATCTCCGAAGATCCTCCATAGCTTGCTGAGTTTGGATTATATTAGGTTTGACGGCAGTTCCGCCGACCGATTCCCTCCAATTCCACGCGCTACGGTTTTCCCATATCTATTCCAATGTATTTCGTGTGCGCTGGTCGTTGAGACAAAGATTTTTGTGATGCAACTTTCGAGGGTTGCCCGCTTGATGTCGATTACAAGGGTTAGAAGGAAGAAGTGATTATTCGAGTGGAAATAAGTAAAGTCTTCTCCATCGAAGGGTAGCCAGGAGCGGCTATTCAAGACCGGGTAAATGCCTTCCTCGTTGTGACAAAGTTCCCAGTTAAATTGGCAGTGGCTGAGAGGATTGGGCCATTTTATTTACAAGTAAACCCTGCAAGTAGTATAAGACTCAGATAGCAATAATATGTTGCTTTCAACTGCTTGAGATGATGAGGTCTAGTCTCTAGAGCTGTTTTTTCTCACCCCCCATATGGTATTTGCCAAAATACTGGGTAAGTTTGCACGTTTTTCGATAAAATGTTGTAAAAAATGCAAAGATATTCCATCGGGTGGTTGAATCTTGTCATTAAATTATAATTCCGAGTGTCGAGATGATGACATAACGATGCACTTTTTCGTACCAACAGCTCCGCTTTGCTGGAGGTTCAATGCAAATCTTCGCAAAACAAAAGAATAAACGGTCACGTCACTTCTTTCCGAGAGAAAAAGGGAAAGAAAGTCAGTTTCCGTATCCGAATTTTCTGACACAGAGCCCATTCGTTATTTCCAATCGACATCCAATCAACAGTCGTCAACCGACCACCCCCGAGGAAAAGTAAGCGCAGTACCGAGAGCTCGATGTTAATTAACGAGCGAAACGAGAAAAGTGGCGATCTCAGTGCCATTTAATTAAAAACAATTTTTAATTGTAATTAATCCGAGCCAGCGCCCTTTTTCATTCCTCGATTCTGAGAAATGGTTGGAAGAAGAAGAGACCGCTGATTATGCTTTTTAATGCGAGCTCCAAAGTTAAAAGCTCCACTGGAATACATTCATCTAAACGCGTGCCATGTTGAATTGAATTGAGACAGGGAAGATGTTGTATCCCTTTTTTTTGTTAATTAAAAAACTCTCGGTTGGATTCAGACACGTACACAATAAGTCGAGCTGTCGCGATGAAAAATTATATTCTAATCTCGATGTAACGACCGCAACTCCCGGTATCAATTACCACGAGCTTTGTCATTAGGAAAATCACTCGTTGTTACTATAGTACTTGCAATCGAAAAAATATTTTTAAAAAAAACGTAATGTATAGCCCTGACTCCTCTTAAACCGCTTCTATCGACTCTGACGAAAACTCGGCTCGACACCGCGTGAGATATTCCCAAAAGCACTCGGGCATTAGAAAACATAATCTGTAAGTTATCGCGTAATTTATAAAGGGGAAAAGTGGCGTGCGCTTTTTGAAAAAGCCGCGGTGATGAAAAATGTCCCCCAGGGAAGGGGCAAAGCGCCACGCGTACAGAGAAGGAGAAGAAGACGCGAAATTGAGGAGTGGAAAGGGGGAGAAAGGAAAGTTTTCTTCCTCGAGGATAAGCGCATTATCGAGCTATTGTCTACGGGCAGCCGATCCGAAGTAATGAGGCATCCGAAGAAAGCTGAGGAACAATCGGGACTGTATACCTGCTCGGTAAGCAGGTCTTACACCTCTGATTTTTTTTTTTTTTTTCGGGAAAAAGAATTTCCAGCGTTTTCAAGGTAGATTGACGCGCTAGCCGAGATTGATAAATTAAACGGTACAACGACCTGATCTTTAAACTCGAGAGAAAGATCTCCCACTTTCGTTCTCAATTGGTTCGAGGTGGCAAAAACCTGGATAATCATGATCTTCAAAGTAACCCCGCAAATGAATAACGAGACGCCTCTTTAAAATCCATCCGATCAAAGATATTTCGGCCAAAAGCTCAAAGCTCCCCCTCCCCAAAACCACGGGTATATACGCCTTCCCGGAGGAGAGCATCCCCAGCGTCAGAGATGAGCACGTGGCAAAAGCAGTTGCCAGTTAAAGCAGTCCTCTTGAACGCAGCCAAGGATGACGAGGAAAACGCGACGCTTCGTCTTATCTGCGAGCTAGCGTCGCTGCGCCCATTAGAGCTATATACACGGAGGGGTCGGGAGGGAGTGTACCAAGTCAAGGCGTCTCTCTCTCTCTC